CGAACTTGCGACAACGCGGTATCGCCCGCGCGGTCCGTCAGTCAGCCAGCTTAGAGGGATTTAGCCGGTCTGCTGCAGGCTCGAATCAAACGCTCCATTGACTCCAAATCCTTACTCTAATTGAAATTTAAAAGCGTTTTTGACAGTTCTCTGTGTTGCCATTTGCAAATAATAAAGGGGATGTAGCGATAGCGTGTGTGGATTTAGAGGAGCGAAGTTTCAAAAAAAGAATGGTTGAGTTCTTTTCGATGTACAATTTTGTTTATTTGTAGTATTTTTTAAATTAAACTTTTTGGTGAAAGTGCTAGATAAGTAAGTCACTGGTCAATCCAGCACTGTTTTAAGTACTTATAAATCAAAACACGCAGATAGATTGAAAATGATTTCATAATCAACATTCACTCCAAAAAACGACCTTTCTAGAGCAAAAATTACAATCAAACAATCTTCTATATTAATAAATAAAATCCATTCAAAGTTACACAAAATCGAAATTACTTCAGTAAGCTATTAAACTTTTATACCGAAATCAGATACTTGACCTTTGACTTACACCTACATGGAAATTGGAATTTTCCGTAAAAAAATAAGGTAAAAAAAATATTTCGATACATAAAATATTGTAAGGTTTCGTTTCAACAGGCGGGTCAACTAATATCAAATCTATCAAATTTCTCCAATGAATTTTCAACTTTAAACACAAAAGACATAGAGTTAAAAATCGATTGAAGGAATTTACTCGTGTTTTATAAATAGAGCCTTTATTAAAAGAGCATTGTTGCTACTTCCCTTGTCCTGAACAAACAGAATTCTAAATGAATGTACATACTTACATTATACATATGTACATGTACTATGTATATAATATTCACTTCTTTGTGTAAGTAGAAAGGAGCGTCACGTACTACCAACAACCTGTATAATAGTATTTCTTTGGTTTCCTTAACAAAACAAATGAAAAGGTTATGAATGGAATGTTTACGTGGTCTAAAATGGACTGAGTAACGTTACTTTATTCATTCTGGTCAACATTGTGTGTCTCGACCGACTACTTGTTCTCATACCTCTCATTACAATGCCTAACACACATCAACACAATGTAACACCCACTTTTCACCATTTATGGTATCACGTCTATGTAATATGTGTCAGCCTATTGCCATATAATATATACTAGGCACAATTTCAAACTCCGTATGTACTGAATTGTAAATAAAAGATAAATGATCCCAATGGTGTTTACCCTATCCCTCCGTATGTACTGAATTCTAAAAAAACCCAAAACAAATCTTAATAAAATGTTGACCGATCTGGGAGTCAAATTCAAAAGCCCTTGCTAGGCAGTTACACTTACGACCACTCAACCAACGCATCAGTCCGTTTACCCAATATAAGAAAACAATCAAACAATGAGACTGTGAAAAAAATTTTTTTGAAAAGAGTAACGATGGAGTTTCTTGCTCGTTAATTCTTCTCCATTCGAAACTACACTGTAGAACGAGCTACCTAGCTTCACTGACAGATGACGTCAGTGTAGTCGGAAGGGAAATTCAATTATTAAGATTTAAAAGTACTTTATTAAGGAATAATTGATATAAGTGTGGGAATAATTGAATTAAGTGTGGGAGAGCCATGCTTCGGCACGAATGGGCCGGCTCGACCGGAGTGATACCACGGCCTCACAGAAAACCGACGTGAAGCAACGCTTGCGTTGTGTTTTGTCGTGTGAGTGAGGTTACCGAAGGCCCAATTACCTTCCCCTCCTCCAATCTCCCCAATCCCTGAATCCCCGACGAACTTCAAACTCCTGATCCCCAATAAGCCGGGAACACACTTGTAACGTCTCTGGTGTCCAGGTGTCCATGGGCGACGCCGATTGCTTACCATCAGGTGATCCGTCTCCTCGTTTACAGGCTATATTTATGGCATAAAAAAATGTTTTGACTTTGAATTTGAATCATAATCAATGTAAGTTAGCCTTTCCTTAAACTAATACCTGATTACACTACCATAACTAACCATCACTTGTGCAATACCCAGCTAATTTACAGAAGAACCATTTGCTAAATTATTAACGGTAACTAACTCTGAATTAGGCCTCTGATTGTATCCTATATAAGCCCAAAGCATCAATACCTCATTAGCCAGATTAAATTAAGACTATCTAATTAGTAACTAATTTATTTATATTGCTGTTGTGTGTAATTGCTTTTTGGTTAGCAAAAAGGCAATTAGGAATTAGAGTAAACATATATAGAGTAAATAACATCTGGAAATCACTATCACGTGATAGTGATAAGACCGCCTTTGTGTCAATTATTATTTTTTGTTTATCTATGTTTGATCAGTAGGCTATAGACTTGTAGGCTGTAGGTGATGATTGATAACATTACACCTTTTACCTGAAGGAGTTTTCTGAAGAACGAGGTCTGCTGTAACATCCATGCTTGGAAAAGATATTAATTATAAATATTTAACTGTATCAGAGACTATTAGTCTGTCTCCGTCAAATAGCTTAGACCCTGTAAGCCCCTTACTTGATTTTTACATCTTACGAAACCCGCGGAAATAGTGACGATGGTGACAAATATGTATTATCCTCTTCCGTCTCCAAACAGCTTACATATATAATCCATTTTCAATTAGCAATTTTCATATTATGGTGGTTAATTTTGAATGGTATTCAGCAACCCTGTCACATACGCATTGAACCAATTACGTAATGGCATCCACGGAGCGTTAATTAAAGATACGTCATTCTGTGTACAGGTATTCGTTATTACAATAAGATACGTAGTACTTACTTAGGTACATACATTTTCATCAATCGATTTTATGTCTACATCAGATAAGTCTCGTAAGTGATTAAAGAAGTTAGTTTTCAAATCCGCCATCTTCATAAAATTGTGGTTATTTAAAATCATGGCTATTTTGATTGATTACCAAAAAAAACAAGTTTTAGTCACGATAAAATATCAGCCCGATATTTTCTTTATGTACTTTCAAAGTCGCTCTAGCTGTCGTATCGTATAATTCTACAATTATACCAATAGAAATTCTTAAATAAAATATCCAACTTCCACAATAAACAACAACAAACAAGAATCGTTTACGCCATCCCCCAAATCAGCGAGTCACTAACATACAACATTAGACAACGCAGGTGTAATTAATTCTAAACTAATTACATCTCATGATACGCGAGACGAACTCCAAGTTACGCAACTAATCGTAACTATAACTATTCGTAACTAGTTTATGTAGTTACCGTCATGGAGTAAGAAGACGTGGAATTGAAACTGCGAACGTGTTCCGAAAAATAAAACGTAAACGAATTGTTGTAAATAGAATTGTATTATGCACTATGGTCTACTTAACTTTTACCGTAAAATGAAAAAAATGTAGTCTAAAAAGTATTTATGGTATATCAAGTAAGAAGGATAAATTACAAAAATACTGGCCAGTACACTGTCAAATAGTCACATGTGACTTTTTGTTATGCGTTCGAAATTTGAAAATACGCGGGATACTCGTAAATAGAAATCGGTAAAAAGAAAAAATAATTTTGCAATTGTTTGTAATTTTACTGTCCCTTTATATTAACGTTTTATTTATTGTTTAGTGCTAATAGTTATGTGAAATTAAAATGATTGTTTAGTCAAGAGTAGTTAAGGAAAACATGACGGATAATTGTGCAGTTATTCCAGAATGCAGTATTGTGGGTAATAAATTATTCACTATTTTTTACATAGAAAATTAGGTCGCAATTTAGGTTTCGTTACTCAAAATTCGTTGCTTCCTTCATCATGTAGTTGTACACTGTAAAACAAGCGGTGTGACACTATGTCATGATTGGATAAACTTTGATATTGTCATTAAAGTCAAGTTTCATTGTGGAATTAATAAAGCGTTGCTTTTGCACGAGACACGACAACTTTACGCTTCTGTATAAACTGAAAAATGTACTCATATCTTTATTTAAATTTTATTTTATTGATTAGGCTCACCAGCAAATTATTACACTTATACAATATAGAGTTACATTTACGAAAACTTAAATACTAGTGCATAAATTTATTATAGGTAAGCACAACATGCATTATGTACTTAATGGTTTACAAATCACTATGAACAGAGACAGGCAAATCCAACCATTGACACTGATTTAACATTAAAAATAACTAAGAAGAATTATGTCTTCAAGTGTTCATAAAAAATAAATAGATATTTCACGTTTTCAAACTCATCATCATCATCATCAACAGCCTATAGATGTCCACTGCTGAGCGAAGCCTCTTCTCACACGGAGAAGGCTTGAGCATTAATCTTAGAAATTAGTCTAATCTTACTCAATTACAAATTATAAGCCCAGGTTTCCTTACAATGATTTCCTTCACCGTTTGTCAGTGTCACATTGTGGAAAAGTCACTTTGGTATTTCCTGTTAGTCTTTTAAAGTCGATTAAATAAAAACTATTCATATCTCTTACACAATACACACAATAAGCACTACGGTTTAGTGTTGACGCCTATATCGCGTTGTTCGTCATTCATTGCGCGCTCGCTCGGCTTTGACTCAAAGCTTATGTGTGTAAACGGTTCGTTACGCTCGAGACTACTCGGCACTCACTCCTGCCTGACATTCATGGTTAGTTTGTGAAGTTTCAACCTAACAGAATGGACTTTTGATGGAATATTTGGATGAAAGGACTAGACAAAGGGTATCGGATTTGTTGGGTTTTGTTAGTGTCTGTCATAGTATTTTTGTTAGTTGAAATAGATTGAGGTTTAAATAAAGCTCTGTCTGAAAAAAATTGTAATAGATTCAAAACCAATGCGAAATACGTGACATACCGGTTTTAATTGTGGTGTTAATAACTAGAAGCGTAATTCCTTCTTACATCTAATAAAATTTTCTTTAAGGTTACTTCCCATTTTAAGGTTTAACACTTTCTCTAGACATTTTAAGAGCAACCAAACTAATTGTACCCTTCTTTCCAGGTCAAGGTGATGCTTCGAGTAGGTGCATCAGGTGAAGGACCTTTCACCAGTGGCACACAAACCTTCTCGATGGACAAACGTAAGAAGCAAGTGAGTCTGTGTGAAACTGCACCAGCTGCCACCGCTCCTGAGGATCGGAAGGTCGGCGTGGCTGCACCTAAGATGTTCGCATTCGATGCTATCTTCTCACAGGACGATGCTCAGGTCAGTTTATTTTAATATGGATAATAGTATTCTATGCTTGTGATTAAGTTAGTTGGTGAATAAATAGGAAAAATCTGACATTTCTTCTTCGTAACACAATTGAGCTATGTATTTAATTTTTCTTTCAGTTTTGTAACCGTTAAAATGTTACAGCCTGTTGCCACGCCTAGGCGGATAATATAGAATCGGATATTAAGTTCTCATTGTCATTATTCTTTGAATACATTAATTTATCATTAGTCGAGTAATTATGAAGCCCTCATAAATCATTGATAATAGAAATATCAAATCTCTATAAATGAATGTCTTAAGAACTAAACTCGCTTGAAGATACCTAAGATAATTGTCGACAACAGTTAATAGCGTTGCTACTGAACAAAATGATCGTCGTCATTAGAAAGGTACTAAAAGAGCCATCGCTGGAAAGGAAAAAGACCTTTGAGATTATCGGGACAAAAGAGGTAATTAGCGTAATTAGTTCGGCCAAATTACTGGAACAAAGGTAGGAAGAAAAGGAGAGGGAAATCGACGTATTTCTTTTTATTATGAGATGAAAGAAACATCTTAACAAAAAACTATATTTAGATAATGCTATTAGGAAAGCTTTTAGTAATCCAATATTTGTATTCTGTTACATAAAAAACAAATGATGAGCATCTTCGAGCTGGCCACTTAACGCACTATTTCTACAACAAAATCCTAGAAAAATATGAGTTAAATCTTGTGTCACACTATTAAGTGTGGGAGAGCAATGCTTCGGCACAAATGGGCCGGCTCAACCGGAGTAATACCACGGCCTCACAGAAAACCGACGTGAAGCAACGCTTGCGTTGTGTTTCGTCGAGTGAATACCGTTACCGGATGTCCAATTACCCTACCCTTCCCCAATCTCCCCAATTCCTGAATACCCAACGATCCTCAAACTCCCAATCCACTTGTAAAGCCTCTGGTGTTCCAGGTGTCCATGGGCTACGCCGATTGCTTACCATCAGGTGATCCGTCTGCTCGTTTATTCTGCTTATCCCATTAAGAATACTTCTATTAGATAAACTGGCCTACTAAAAGATTCAAATAACTCCGCATAATATTCAAAACTGTACAACATTTTAAATTTCAAAAGTGCACAGATATTATAAAAATTCCTGTCGCCACTCACCTCTGAATTTTCGACGATATTATGCAACATATTAACATTATAAGGCAACATTTTCTCAGCGGCATACTAACGTCTCATGTCGCATACTACCGTCCCGAGGCGGCCTCGTAGTAAAAATAAGAGAATACTTACCTACTATTACATAAAACTTTCCTACTAAGGGAATGGACTATGTGATAAGCGATTTAAGCTAAACTTGTGTAAGGTTTTCCTGTATGCTGTATGCATACTTTATCGATTACGAGATGCTTCGACACAAATTTATTATTAAAATTACCTACTGTCAATCTTAATTAGATTTATTTTGTAATATTCACATACAAATGAATGTACTTACGTACACAATAATCTAAACCACTACTATTTTTTATCAGAATCGTTCAATCTAAATTCCGTTTTCGACAGTTATTAGTTCCAACTAAACCCAATGACATTGCATGAAAAGGCAACAAAATTGCCTCGTCACTCGCTAGCTCTCCTAACTTGCAGAATAGACGTGTGTCTAGGGGTAGTTCTGTACCCCTCTGAATTTCATGCACCAAAAATGTCGTCGTCGGAGCGAGCCGCGACTTCTCGTGTTTAAATTGTTAAACGCCGTGCAGTAGGCGACTAACGCCAACTATAGCGTTCCTTCCCTATACGAAAATTTTCACATTTTTGTCGGTGCTCCCGGATAGAAATTGTTAGCGGTTTTAACGAGATTTTTAAGCATATGATTCGCTTTAATGTTATGAGCCTTTACAATTCCATAAGAGGGTTACTTTCGTAGGAGTTAATGTGGAGTTGAAGCTCTTTGAAGGTTTTTGAGAGTTTGGTCGCTAAAATACTTGCCTTTTCTTTTACTTCAAGCTTTGGAAGAAACGTAATAAAGGTGTTGGTGGCAAAGTGTATGGTGGGACACGAAGTTTTTTCTTACATAGCGACATTTATGTAATGAAGTTAATAGATGATCCAATAAATGAATTCAATTAAAGCTCTGTTAAGTTACTAGATAAATCTAATAAATATAGTAAAAGAAATCTTAAAAAGCAATTTATTCAGGTTAATCTAAAACACTATGAAACTGAATACCACTCAAACAAGAATGATTGGAATATCCAAACACATCCCCACATTCATTTTCTAAGTAGTTTCGCGATATTATCTAGTGTTAACTAAACATGAGCTTAAACCATGTAAATGGCTCCATTTAGTTCAGCTAGGAACAGACTGCTATCCCCAGGATACGATGTTATCAATTCCCAAGTCACGTTTTTAATAAGGTTACACTTTATACCTAGGGCATAAAGTTTTCGACTCAAGTTAAAACTGGAAAATATTGTCGGAAAATACGTGAGGATGCCTTTGTAAATTTTAAGCGGTTAAGGCTAAAACTAAGCCCTGTTGTAGCAAACTTATATTTTTATCGTTTAACCTGTGAAGTGTCAGAATGCAGAACTACGCTAAACACAATGTGTTTTCTATTGTGTCTCATATATCGACTGACAAGAGGGTAATATCTTGACTATTATGTGCATTCTCTGAGTGAGAAAATAAGTGTTTGGACTAAATTTCGGTAAGTGGCCTCTCTCGATAAGCAATCTCAAATCGAGCCTTTCTTCGAGACAAAGACATGAAAGAGCTATGAATGAACCATCTACATATTAACTTTATTACTATTAATCAATTATTTATTTATTTAAAGGTAAATAAAGCACACACTAAATTACATGATAGGTTTTAAACATATTTTAACATTGTATAGTGTAGCCTTAATTAAAGGCTGCCACGACAAGCATTAAACAAAGAACAGGGTATTACAGCAAAAATTATTTAATACTGTCATATGACTATTTCACACAAACTTTGATAAGTTTGAGTTTATTGAGAATATTTTCATAAACTACACACGCACGTATTAATTAAGATATTTTATTAAATATCACGAAACTCAAAATTACGACATGTTACATAAACCCATCCCTAAAACTCGCTAATCCTATACGACGCAACTAAACCAAACGAGCATAACCAGCAACAATCATAGTGAACAATTCACACAACAAGTCCACTGGTGCACACGAATCCCATTAGTTTAGTCCATGTCTATGTGGAACCGGAATTAGGAGCCAGCATGGCTTAAATTGTAAATGCACCGTCATTGTATTGCTTGTCAGAATTATTTTACAACTAATAGTAAAATGTTTATGAAAATGGATGATCGGTAAAAAAACTTACCCATCAAGTTGATATTAATTGACTACCTAACAAATCTGTAACTTGATTAAAAAGAGTAGACACTTACAAACATGTATGTATAGGTGGACTTAATGCTGTAGATGTAGACATTATCTATGAGATAACGAAAATCGCGAGTTACTCACGTGAATATGCTGAGAAAACTTCTACTAGTTTCGAACCACAGAGGGGTTCTTCCTCATGAGCAGCGTGCGCGGTCGCGGCGACATCGCACAGCTCACTGGTGCCCAGTGCCCAGGTGGTTCGAAACTGGTAGAGCTTTTCTCAGTATATTCACGTGAGTAACCCGCGATTTTAGTTAATTTAGTATGTCTCACGATAGTTATTATAAAAACATTATCTGTGAGTCTAACTTTTAAGGGCCGATTTTTCAATAATCAGTTAATTCTTAACCATATAATAAAATTGACATTTGATGACAGTTTTTAGTATGGAAAAATAACATATTCTCTGTTATAATTTATCTGACGTTGGTAAATCGATCTGAAATGATGCAAAGAATAGTAGACAAATCAAATTAGAACCCAGTTTTTGTCAAATGATGCTACTAAAAAACCGTAATGTCGCGTGACGTAACTTGTATGTACATTTTATACGTAGAAATGACGTTTTACCCCCCACTCCTTAACTTTGATTCGTTTTATCTAAGTATTGTTTTATTATACGACAAAATATAAAAATACGTGTCTAATGTTTCGTCATTACGTAACTTACGGACTAATTATATTTTTATTAATTTGCATTCTCTGTCATCATTCCAATTCTAGTAGAGAGTATATTATGTAGCTATATCGCTGGTTTCGATTTGCTTTATTATTACTGTTTATTAATTCCGACCAGCAAGATACATGTTTATTTATTTATACACATACAACTCCCGACTGCAGCATCCCCAAATCACACATCATACCACTTAAGACTAGAAATCCTGATCAGGAATCGTAGCTCCATAAACGGAGTAATAAATCACTTAGCTGAACTAATGCGAGTGCCTATGTAATTACTATAGGCGCAAGTAAGCCTGCACTGTAATGCAATGTATGTGGAGATTATGAGACAGGCATGTGGCGTTTGACATTTGTGTCTGGCAGCGGATGAGGTGACTTTTGAGATTGAGATTCGCAAGTGATGTTGTGTTTTTGTCATGTGTTTTCCTATTTTAAACCCTCTGTAAGAGGTAAGAATTAAATAAAAAATATGTCGTTAGTAAATGGACTTAAATTTCAATTACGTATTTTTTTTGTATTTGATACGGACATTCTAAAAATTATTATTAATTTCGAACATTGTCATCGTTTGTAAATTAATATAATTGGCGAATTTTTGACACCAAAATTCAAATGAAACGAAATTTTAAGTGAATTGAAATAAAATCGTAAACAGACTGCACAGTTTCAACCAGACCATCCCGATCAAAATAATTAAGAGAGCTATTGAGTTAAAATATGGACCTTACACGAATGTAGTTATACACGCGTTGATGTTAGTTATCCGTGCAATAACTCACCGGACGGTGCCGCATGGATGCCGGACGGCGGCCGGACACCGGATTACGTAGGCTTAGCGTCCGACGTTGAGACCCACAGGGAACCGCCGTAATTATGTTAGTAATCTACCTTTATGACTTGTTTACATTACTAGCAAAACAGATAATATAGGCCCGGTACGGCATTATCAAAAATGGAATTATGCAGTTGCTTTGTAGAGTACATTTATTATTCGAATTAGTTCCGTAAAGACCGCGCAACTTCAGCGCCATCTGATAATCAAAATACTAAAGACTTAAACACTTCTATGGGAAACACCGAATACCCTTTTAAAAACCAATTCATTAAGGTTTTAACTGCCAATAGAAAACTGTTAAAGGCCTCGGCTATCGTCTTCGGTCACCGATGATTTCCATGGCGTTTAATGTGTATTCCTATGGCTCAAAATGTCAACGCCTAATGGCTACGCTAAATACGAAATAAAACCTATTTTGAAAACCTATAAACGACAGTCATTATCAGTATCAGCTTCCATGCAACGTCATTGTAATTGGACCTAACAAACTACAGCGAGATAATTATGAAATAATCCTACTGATATTAAATAGGATACTTTATATTGTTGTGATAATATTTGCCGTTACAATTAGTGGTGTATTGGTTATTAAAGAGAGTAGAGAGCAAGCAGAGTAATTGCTTACTAAAGCCAAAGTTTGTTAAGTTTTTTTATGTAGTTGATGGGCCGACGTTTGGCCACTATCTCGCATGGTGGTAAGCGATAATGCGGCCTACGATGGAGCTTACCATCAGGTGATCCGTCTGATCGTTTACCGGCTTATGCCATAAAAAAATAATAAAGCACATCTGCCCATAAGCAACCTATTCACTCGGACCTTGTTAAGTTAATAAATAATATTGTGTAGAACTAGGTATGAACCTAGTTCCTGTATTTTTTTTTATGGCATGGTAAGCAATCGGCGTCGACCATGGACACCTGGAACACCAGAGGCGTTACAAGTGCGTTACTGGCCTTTTGAGGATTAGGAGTTTGAGGATCGTTGGAGATTCAGGGATTAGGGAGATTGGGGAAGGGGAGGGTAATTGGGCCTCCGGTAACCTCACTCACACGACAAAACACAACGCAAGCGTTGCTTCACATCGGCTTTCTGTGAGGCCGTGGTATCACTCCGGTCGAGCTGGCCCATTCGAATCTATTAGAATAGGTTTAATAACTTCAAAAATGTAGAATCAAAGACTGTACTAACTGTAGATAAACCTTCAAAATTCCCTGGGATATATGACGTGTACTGTAGTTGAAGAATTTATTCCAAAACTATCGTAAGTACATTGTATGAGATATTTTGAACTTTCAAAATTCAATATTAAATGGATTGTTTGCACAATATTATTACAAGTCCAAGTACCAATATAACATCGTTTCCAATCAATGTTGAAACTAATGAAAAACTGTTTACAACAAAATTAATTTGGAACTCATGAAATTGGAGCAAACTATTCGATATTAATATCCCACAAACTTTATAACCTCAAACAAACGGACTATGGAGATATGTGGGGCATTTATTTAATTAAATACCAAATTAATTTCATCAACTACACCAATATGTAACTTGTAATATATTTCGTATCTATTATTGAATTTTCAATATTTAACTTTTTTTTTATTGCATGAATCGGTAAACGAGCAGACGGATCACCTGATGGTAAGCAATCGGCATCGCCCATGGACACCTAGAACACCAGAGGCGTTACAAGTGCGTTACCGGCATTTTGGGGATTAGGAGTTTGAGTTTACCGGCTTATGCTATAAAAAAACCAACTCTGATAGTCATAAAAGCGCGATATGAACACAATCAAATAAATTATAGAAACCTACACCAAACATTATAAAAAACCACCCCAGTATTAAAAAATATAACAGCTTCATTTAAAAACAAAATCGAATGACCGTCACCATTGCCGGAGTAAATTAATTGAAATGAAACGAAACGAAAGTTAATAACAAAAATTGATTAACGGTACCCCTTACGCAGTTCGCACTAAGCGTTCTCAATTAGAGAACGGAGTCGTGGTCATTAAAAATTTCATTCAAAACAATTTTAGTATTTCCGTGTCGAGTACACGAGGATATCCCCTGCTTTAGGTACACCATGAGTTGTGATGGGAATGAGAAACGTTTTATAATCAATTAATATGAGGAGCTTGTTAAAAATGTAAAGCTTTGTTCTACTGATGCGCTTCAGAAAGTGTACGTTTGATCGCACCAATTTAAAAAAAAATATCTGTACGATTTAGTTTCAAGTAAAGTGCAATCCAACACAGTAGAAATACTCATATGTAGGTTTTTTTATTATTATCAATGGTTTTAGGGACTTATATGTAGATAATTTGAGTAAAACTAACCTCTTTCTATTTACTTACTCGTATGAAAAATGAACATTGTATAAAGGATAAAAAATCAATTACAAAGACTAGACTAAAACCTTTCTAAATTTATTTTATTGTCCTAAATATTATAAAACAGTTAGACACCCTACTACCCTCTAATCTCAGTGCTTCACCTTAAGTCCTTTTAATTATCTGTGGAGGGACTCAGAATTAAAATAAGAAGCAAAAGAAGACATTAAATTATTCACGTTATTATAATTAAAATTGTTAATTATGAGTTCAAGTCTAAAAACTGTATATAATTGTGTTAAAACAGATCCTATTTAACGAGAAAAGATATTTTTTATGGGATCACCTGACGCCCATGGACACCTGGAACACCTGAGGCGTTACAAATGCATTACCGACTTTTTTAAATTAAGAATTTGTGGATTGTTGGGGATTCAGGGATTGGGGAAGTGAAGAACTGAAGAGAAAAACTCATACCAGAAACAAAATCAGTTACTTAAATCTTCATCTTTTAAAACCACCCAGACATTATTATCTCTTCAATATTACGCATAGATACCTACAACTTCACAGTTCAAATCAACCCTCCAATCTACATCCTACCTTAAGTCCACGTAATTATCTGCGATCGGGGGCCAAAAGAACCCCGGCTCAGAGGTTAGCAAACACCCTAAGTGCCAGATTTTAGTTAATTATTCACGGTATTATAGACACTTTTGTTTATTTGAGGGTTATAGATTTAATCGTAGTTATAAGAGAGTTGTAACGTATGTAGTATGTTGGTTTTAATTAAGTGTTTAGTTTGTGGTAATAAATATACATGAATTTATTCAATGTAACATCTACCTTTTACTAATTATGTCATGAATACCATGTAATAATTCTATTTGCTGTTAGTTTTCCAGAAGTAACATACTTTTGACAGTTTTGATAAAAGCATCCAATGTTGAGGTCATAGCTACCTGGCTTGTAAAAACATTATTTTCGTTAGGTCTCGGATGTTAACTATTAACATCAAGAATGGAAGACCTTTAGTTTTTTGTGTACTTAGTAGTAACTTGTTCTAGAAGTCCATAAAATTTATATATTATATTCTAGTCTCACTCTCGTATTTTGTTTGTTGCAGTCGGAGATATGTTCGAGTGCACTCACTGACGTCATCCACGCCGTCATCAACGGAACAGATGGCTGCCTCTTCTGCTTTGGACACGCAGGACTTGGTAAGACAATATATAATACATTTAAATACATCATCATCAACAGCCCCTGATAATCTAAGTATGGGCCTCTTTTAAAAATAAGAGAGGTTTGCCAAAACACATTCGGCAGGTGGGTTGAAGAAAATACTCGTAATCTAATATAGGTCCCTCGCTTAGATAGCCTACGCTTAGATCTATACTGGTTTACTTGACCACGTTTTTCGAATGTACTCTATCATTTATAAATCTACTCCAGAGTTTCCCAAACTACGGGTCGTGACCCATTGGTGGGTAACTACCGAATTTTGAGTGCGTCTTGTTTATAGAATGACACACTAACCAACCGCTCTGTAACTTACTTTTAGTATTGGTAACGCTTTAATTTCCAAAAAATGGGTCCTGAGTTTGGGAACTTGATTCAGATAAGTCGCAGTCCAAACAACTTTGGTAAGTACTGTTCTACTATATTCGAAATCTATTTAAATACTATTTAAAACACGTCTAACAGAATAGCAGACCAGTTTATAATAGATAAGTGTTATATTTATCTAAAAGTTTACTCTTTGATAGTTATCAAGTCCTCACCTTTAATTCAGAACCGTTGATTAAAAAGTGCGAAAACTTACAGTCAGGGCTGCCATCCCACTGCATTATTTTAAAAGTCATCCATACCACAGTGCACATAACTCTTTGGCTATATTGAACAATCTATTCATAAAACTACAGATTTTTACTATAAAATTCTAAATGATCGAATTAGATTAAATTTTAAATATGAATATGTACATATATTCTACCACAGCAAAAAATATATTTCAACTGAAACTCCATTCGCAATTCCACGCAATGTTTGCAGTGCGGAACCACAATTCATTTGAAAGGTGGTAGCCCTAATTATGCACTATAAAGTATGAAACTTCTCACTCGGCTCGGCGGCAGGATTTGCATCTAAATGGCAAAGAGTCGGGAGAGCTCTTAATTGAAAGTTTGATAAATACGACCTCCTTCCCTCTCACTCCTACACTCGTGATAGCAAAACTTTGATATTAAACTGGCTTCTCAAGTTAACACTATTCATAACGAAGGTTTCAAGTCTAGATTAAATGAATTACAAGTAACAGGTTTTGTTTTAGAATTAGTTTTGCAGTTTCATTAAAACAGTAATGATTAATCAAATTATTATTTTAAAGCCTATGTCAGTATTATCAGTATTTTAACACCAAACAAATGATTAATTAGACTTAAACTGGTCTTAAGAAGAGGATTACATGTAAACCAATTAAAACTCAACAATTCAACTTAAAGTAAGCTTCTAAAACAATACAACACGACATTATAACTGGGAAACAAGACAAAAGCTAAGAACCCAAACAGTATTACCAACCTATTAATAAGTTTCAAGACACGAAATCAATTTAGCAAGTTGCAAAGGATTATCCGAACGATGCGATCACGATAATACCACAGACAAACAATTGCGAAATGGGCTTATACTTTCATTAACACGAAACAACGGACGACTAAAAACGAAAGAGGTAATTTACCCGAACCTCCCCTCATAGATTAAGGTTTCAGATGCAAATTGAATGCTTCGCGAGATGAAAGTTTTGGGGAAACGCGGCGATGTTGGCACTAAACCCCAGCTTACGGCAACATCCCGCTTATACAGGATCTGCGAACCAACTGAGTGAATAATTCGAACCTCGTTTTAATTATTGAAGGATTTCGGAAGCCACGTGAAGCTAAGTGAACTTACCTGGTGTTAAAGTGATTTCTTATGTTCATTACGCCGCCAACGTGAATATTCGGCGGTTGCTCGGAATCCTGTCGGAGTCTTTTATTATTCAGTTCTAACCTCTCTCTGTTTTGCATAAAGTTACGTGCCCATAAATGAAATTTTGTATAGATTTTTATTTCGTCAATAGCATTATGTAATGTTTGAAAGGAAGACTTTACTTTCTGAACATGTTAGATCCTTATTGGAGTTATTAAAACTAATATTGATCCTTTCGAAGTATCTAAAACTACCAACTTATAAATTTTCATTTTCTGGTTTCGTGTTAGTTGGTTTATGAAAGTTTAGCTCACATGTTTGTTTGTTTGTTTGGCTAGGTAAATCCTATACGATGTTGGGGCGGCCGGACTCGCCGGCGGCGCTGGGCGCTATACCCTGCGCCATCACGTGGCTCTTCCGAGGAATTGCAGAGCAACGACACAAGTGTGGCACCCGGTTCTCCGTCAGAGTATCAGCTGTAGAACTCTGCACGAACACCAACCAGATCCGGGACTTATTGGCACCATATCAAAATGGTAAGTTATCAAAACAATATGAACATTTATATATCAGCTGATTTAAAAACAAGTCGATCCATAAAGATCGGACAAAATCTGATTTTGTGAAATGATTGCTTATTGATACAGGTACTAGCAGACGTTAATTAGGGTTTTCTATAAATTATTAATGTTTCAATTTCGTTGCGCTCTGCCTTACCTTTCATTAACTGACATTTCAAAAGATAACGACCGTGTTAATGACAATTCCAAACATATTCATTAGCGATACTAAGCCACTATCGAAGGACGCTAATGAATCCTATGACCTATAGCAAAAAGATTAGGTGTGTTGATGAAGGAAATGAGCATAAATATTTAAATAATTACTTTGTTCAAAAGAGATCTAATTTACAATCCTTAATTATATTATTTTTATCTCCAAACAGACACGGAACAATCTCCAGGAGTATATCTTCGAGACGATCCACTCTTCGGGACTCATCTGCAGAACCAATCAGAGCTCAGAGTTCACAGCGCTGAGAAAGCAGCATTTTACTTGGATGCTGCTTTAGCGACCAGAGGAACTAGAGAGGAGGGGAAAGACAGTCATCTGTTGTACACACTACATGTATATCAGTATAGTGTTGGTGGTAAAGGAGCAGGTAAGATTAATTTCTATACAAAAACATCCAAATTTGACAGTCACAATTTATAACTTTATATTATACCTTATCTACTTCCAAATCTATACAAAAGAAGCTGTTAAAGTTATGCTTTACAAAATAAAGCTTTGTAGAAACATTCTCACAGAAACAAACAAGACTCAAACAAAAAGCTAATCAAAATTTAACACAAAGAGTAGTTTTTTCAAGAACGTCCATTGAAGAAGGTTCTATATTAAACAAATTCTTTAAATAAAAGTTTCACTATCCGGCGCCGTACTAAACGGGTCACAAAACAACAAAGTTCCTGAATTAAAAACATTTCTCTCTTTGTTCACAGTTGCCGGAGGACGCAGCCGCCTGCATTTAATCGACCTAGGAAACTCAGAGCGGGGAAAAACAAACGGCGGAATACCACTATCTGGTTTAGGAAATATATTACTTGCAATATTCAACGGACAAAGACATCTGCCGTACAGAGACCACAGCCTTACTCATGTATTAAAAGAATGTCTCGGGTCCTTGACATGTCATACAGCCATGATAGTGCATGTCTCACCAACCTCTCAAAATTATTCTGATACGTTAACTACCTTACAATTAGCTTCTCGAATACATAGGCTTCGGAGAAGGAAAGTTAAATATTCTGCCAATAACAATGCTGGATCTGGTGGAAGCTCTGGTGAAGATGCTTCGAAGCCTAGTAGTAGTGAACCAGACCCATCCAGTAGTGATCTGTCAGCAGATACTGTAATATACGTAGGTCCATTGGACGATGCTACTGACGGTGAACATCCACCCGTGTACATACCCCACATAAACTCAGGTGACAACCGATGTATCCTAAGTAAAGCCTTACGAGGCTCAGCAGCAGAACAAAAACACAAGTCGTCATTATCTCGAGTAGTTGAAGAGAAAAGTCCAGTGCACAGGTTACATGGATCTCCCAAATCATCACCCTTGAAAATTTTACAGCCCACACATACTCCAAAAGCATCTCCAGTTCATTCAGTTACATCTAAATCAACACCACTTAAGAAACTAGCTCCAAAACATTCAGAGGAAGGTAAAAGCAATAGTGATGAACAATGGATAGATGGACCTCGGATATCTAAATCAAAGTTAGTTGAAGCCAGACATATTATCAAGGAAACACAGGGCAAGAAACGAGAAACTTGGATTGATGGTCCGATGCAGGAACCAAAAGTACCAATACAATTTGAATCAGTGCCAATACAACCTGCCAATAATACAATGCCACTCCAGTTAGGTATTCTCGGTTCGCTCGGTAGTGAGAACTTAGGATACGGATACATGGATAACCATAAGAAAAATATGATCAGGAAATGGGTGGAAAATCAAACTTCACAAATCCATAAATCTAGACACAGCTCACCAAGTCACAAAGCACAAACTGCTCACAAAGAGCCAAGTGCTAGAGCTCCCGAAGAACCCGAAAATGCTCATAAAATGGAGCCAATGACAAAAGATTCAGCTAGACGAATACACGTAGAAGAATCCACTATACGAACTGGTCTAAAAGCTAGCTCTAAGGGAATGTCAATCGAAGAAGAAAATGTTGGACCGGGTACCTCTGAACAACATTCGAATAATAAAAAGTGCTCCAAACCAAGTAAACAGGAAATCGATGATGACGATGACAGCGAAGAGCTAGCAGAAATACCACCTGCATTGCCGATAATGCAACCCAGTAGTCTAAGTAGTAGAGAAGTATCAATGGAAAGTTTAGATAGTAAATATAAAGAAAGGTTACGGATGGACGATGAGATGGTTTCAAACCATAGCAGGGATATTGACCATCATGGCATGAGTAGAGGTCTTAATGATGATGACGATGAAATTTTAGAAATAATCGAAGTTGAAGAACCTTTAGAACCTGTCCCTATGATGGATTCTTGTCTGCAAGTAACAGAAGAGGATATTGCCTTCTGCATGGGCTTCTCAGAAAATCCTCTTCCAGAAGTAGACCAAGAAGATGACGATCATCCTCTTAGGATTCTTAGCCAAGAAAATTTAACAGTCGCATCGACTTTCACTGATACTCTGTCCTTGTACAGTGAGGTTGAACGCCAAATTAGAAACGAGGCTTACCTTAGACAAACGATAGGTTTTTACGCGGATAAATATAGCGCCGATCATGGACTTGGATTAAATCCACACGATAGTCTACCATCATCCCGATCTAGAATTGATGATATCATGAGCTTAACTGAACTCTACGGATCGCGACGTATGTTGGATACTGATGATATGTCACTAGCGCGGATTGTTCCTCAGTTTCAGTCACTGTCCCTATCAAACGTTCGAGATACAGAGGAATTTGGTGGCGATGGTTCGGTCTACAGTGAACCAGCTTATAGACCAAGTGACAAAATATGTAACAGTTGCAAACGGACTATGTCTAGGCCAGGCAGTGCAGTTGGCGAGTGCGAAGCTTACCACGATTTAGAAGGCCATACTGAATGCTACGGGCCTTTCGAAAGATACAGGGGTAATGACATAACAGACGCTCGTATAGCATCGCTAAGACACCCAGATGGAGCTTCTGATCCTAACTTGAGAGAGGAACGAAGGATACCCGGTAGTGGAGCTCCTTCGTTTAAAGAACTCAAATCCAATTTACACCTCGAAGTGACACCGCCTGTGGTGACGACCGAACCGCGAACGGAGAAAAGTGATAAAGGAATAGCTAGGGTGGTTGCTAGTTCCAAACCTGATGGTTATGATAGTGGCCATGAATCTACGCCACGGACAGGTAAACATAGTCCAGCGACGACTTCTAGACGTGCTGAGTCGGGGTATGATTCCGTTCCTCGAGACTCCGATGCTTCCTCTCTCGATTCGTACCCGACGCGGCGCGCAGCTGTGGCTAGAGCTCACGCAAAAAAGCATACTACAGCCAAATACAAACAACACAGCGACCGATCCTTCTGCTCATGGCTACGGAACCCCTTCACTTGCAAGTACGCTGACACAGATCCAGAAATCAGCGACTTTTAGAACGAAATCCCAATGTATAAATATTTAAACTGTATAATTCTAAATAGATATCATTAAGCTACGTTACCGAATTTAATCTGGAGACTGCTTTTGTACTCTAGTACTCGTATTTATAAAATAAATGCTTCGACACTGACAGGTTACCACTGTATTTTTCTAGATATACGGAAGCTTCTAGCTCTGCGCTCTAAATATGATAATCTAGATAATATTCTAAACACTATTGTAAATACAGATGTTATGCGAGGATTGCTATAACTTGTAAGCGTTCGTCTTCTGCTCATTTTTGTACTTTTATACTATCATCATGAAAATCCTCTATTCCGAATGTTGTGAAATTATTTCCAAACTGGGAATAGCTTTTGTACTGAGCTCACTTGTAAATTATTCAAAGCAAGTCTTCCTCTGTCTTCCCCTCTCTGTGACAATTTCATATCGAGGACATTATTTTCTATATCTGCACTGCCACTGACCTCAACGTCGTAATGTTATGTACCGCGTCCATTCCAATCACTGCTGAGACCTTTTCTGAATCTCCATTTTGTATATTAATTCCGAAGAAAGTTTGTTACGCTGTTATAACATTTATGAAACTATATTTAACGATAGTAAAATAATACTGTAAGATTGAACTCAACGATAGTGATTGGAATAGTTTGCGACTATTTATATCAATGTAACTAAAAATCTCGTTTCTAGGATTTAAGACTGTTGTCATTTCTTTGGCCATGTTTTATATTATAGCTTTAAATTTTGATATATTGTAATAATGTAATCGGGAGGTTGACGACCCCGCGTGTCTCCGACGACTCGTCACCTCTATCGAATGTTGGTAAACTAAGTTTAACGCTTTATTGTCAATGTTTTGTTATTGTACTATTAATATTACAAATATATATCCTAAATTCTACTATGCGTTCGTATTAGTTTACAATAAATTGTTCGATTTCGATTAATATTGGTTTTATTGTTTCACACATACCTATTAACCATACGTAAAGGTACATAAAACAAATACGTGTAGAGAAATTAACACACAAGAATAACTGAGCTAAACAGTTTACATTGAATCTCACTAATATTATAAATGCCAAAATTTGTGTGTATGTTTGTTACTCAGTCACGTTAAAACTGCTGATGGGATCAAGATGAAATTTTGAACAAGGGTAGTTTACATACGCTACTTTTTAACTTACGGGAACGCGGGCAAAGCCGCTGGCTGTAGTTAATAATTACTAAACTAGCACTTGACACCAAAACCCGTCACTTCTAGTAACACAATAAGTTTAATCAAAATGAGTACGCTCAATTTAAAATGTTACGCTCCCTTAATCGCTTATGCTCTAGTAAAGAGATCATCCAAATAGGAGCCACTACCCGAGCACTTAAAACAAAAAACCATGAATAAATAATGTGATACCAGGCACTCTTGTGCCCCACGAATGGGAATTTCAAAATCTTTTGGGGATATAAAACTTTTTTCCCTTCACGAAAGTAGAACAACTTTTCCCTGTTAAGATGCAGCCCTATTATCTTTCATTTCGCCAGTAATTTAACATTCTCGGTACGCCCCGCGAAAATCAAGCTATCAAATAAGATGTCTACCCTTCGAGCTCCGTGGGGTGACAACTTTTTTCTTGGAAATCTCCCAATAATTTGTTAAAGTGGCAGCCGGTTAGCCCATAACGCTTATCGGGTTCTAAAAAGATTTTAGCGTTTTAACATCGGATGGGGAAAGTTATATTTTCATCGGTAAAGCCAATAAATTTTACTTTTTATCGCGGATTTTCTGAATTCGATCGAAATTGCAGAGAGGATGTCGTACTTTTTAATGTTGGGAAGGAAGGGTGATCGACTGGAATTGGGGAAGATGAAACTATTGAGATGGAATGGAACAAAGAGGGTGACAACCGCTCTGAAGTGAATTGCATTTTGTTAGCAACGTAATCTTGGAAAGATCGTGTTGCTGAAATTTAAAATCGTAGGAAAGTGAAAACTGTATCTATACATATTATAAAATTAAGTGAAAACTGTTAGTCGAATATTTTTTTAAAGAATGCTTGAATCTACAGCCGATACCGAAACCAAAAATATGGTTTTTAGATTTGTTGTCTGTATGTATGTCCAGGATGAACTCAAAAAGTGCTGCATGGATTTACTTCAAATTTTGCATGAGTTTTACTAACAGGTTGTGTTAACGTAGGTAGGTATAGGCTACATATTATCATATTATCAATTACGGGGGAAAAGGTCAGCTAGTATTTTATATAGGTTAGTTACTCCTAAGTTAGTTGATTGCTTATTAAATATGGAGTCCCAATCCCTGATTGAATAACCAGTACGGCTTTTTAAATGTTCTATTACGGGAATGATTCCGCTGAATGTAATACAGAACCATGACTGTTCGACGTTTTGCGTGCTATAGGTAACATGAGACATCATAAGGCCTCACATAACATTATGTACATTTCCTAACCCAAAGTAAGGACCACGTGTACAACATTCGCACTAAAACGCACTAACAATAATCCTTACTAATATTATAAATCGGAAAGTGACTTTGTTTGTTTGTTCCGCTTTCACGCTATAACTACTAAACCGATTGCTTTGAATTTTTGCCGATGTACAGTTAGAAGTCTGGATTAAATAATAGGGTACTTTTTATCCAGGAAAAATTTGATATTCTCGAGGGAAAACGAAATTATTGGTATAGATGGCGCTGTGAAAAAATGAAAGTAGCTTATATGACATATACCAATACATATGTCATATAAGCTACTTTTTAACCTTTTGTGACGTGAGCGAAGCCGCGGGTAAAAGCTAGCAATAAATATAACAATAAGGCATCCATTAAAAAAGTATTCCTAAACTATTCCTAAAAGTATTATCTCCTAAGATTCAATACAATCAGGCATTGATAATATGCAAATAGTTCAATAGGTTCAATTCGGTGCAGAGTTTCCTAAGAGATACTTTGGTTCTATTTTAGAATTGTTTTAAAACTCTTTCCTGAAGAGCAGAGTGCACCTAACGACTTTCTGGTGCTCAAAATATTCAGTTTGGGCGAATTTTTCTGCTGACAAGTACAGTAGGAATTATGCTGATAGTTTTACTATTTACACAAACTTAAACTAAAACTAATAAATAGTGATTAGATACTTTTTTTTTAAACGTTGCCCCACATTAGGATTTTCTCCTGTGTCGTGGGTGCGTTTACAAACATACAAGTTCACATACACAATGACACCCAGACCCGAAACAACAATTTGTGGATTACATAAAGTGTTGTTTCGTGCGGGAATCGAACCCGCGATACGTTGCACGGCAGTTGGTTGCCCAGCCACCGCACCAACCGTGCACTCTAATAAAAAATCGAAGCGTCTTAGATAATTTTGTCTTTTTAGCAACTAACTAAAAAGATACTTACGGTGTAATGCAAATGTGAAACATGTCAAGACATTTATTTCATAAAAGAATGTAAACAAATACGAATATAACATGTACCTACGCAAAGTAAGCCTTACAATACCAACTAGTAGCTACAAGTCAGCTCCCAACTTCCTTTCCCAGCCAACATCCCTAACTAAACGAACAACCGATTATTTAATAACACACGCTGTCACATAATACGGGACCAATAAGTACAAAATGCGGATAAAAATAATAGCTTCGACCGAAGAAGGCACACGTCGACCGACTCGCCGCGCCGGTCGACACGTGACAAGAACACGAATAACCCAAACATATCATCCTCATTCCACACAATTATACACGTTATTCTCCACAAAATAGAGCCTTATATTGTGTGCTGGATACCTGTATACAGCCTCCGAAACATTGGAACGTGATACATACTGAAATAATAACAAAACAGATCGGCATGGGGTAGGTATAATGGTGTATCAATCCTGACTCATACGAGGAAACACCGAAGGTATCACATTTGTCATGGAACGTAAGGTTTGTGGGGACCATGACCAGCATACAAAGTAGAAGTAATAGTCTTAACTAGACTAACTAGTTTGGACATAAAGAAAAGTTGACGGGCGGAATCCGACTTGGGATACTGAATAACTTCTGATACTTGGTATCAATACAGGATTTTCTTATTCTATGAAATAATAAGATGGTAGTAATACTTATTGTAAATCTACTTTTAACTATTGTACCGTTCCTAGTAATCCGATTTTGTAGTAGAGGGGTAAGTTACCAATTCGTCAAACACCTGGTACAATGCAATAGTAGCTACTCGTATAAAGAAACACATGTAAGTAATTCAGTTAGTCATGAACAGCGTACAGAGCAAAGCATTTCCTAACTTTACACGCTAAAAGAAAAATCATTCGATCTAAAAAGAAGAAATTGAATCCTGAACAAAAACGATTTTCGACTTCTCTATTGATGACTAACAAAAAAAGCCAACTTCTGTCGAATGTAAATGGGCAATTTGACCAGCTGCGTTGGAATAGTACAATGTGGGACAAGTTGTATTGTATGGCGAATTTTGTTTCTTCAAAAAGGCCATCCGGGGAACATTTCGGCGACGGGAACGTGTCCTGAATCTGAAGCGGTCGGTTAACAGAGCGACGCACTACACGCCTCCCGTGATCCGAGCATAAATTGTGAACCTTTTGAATAGATACTCTTTGTTTATCCACCATAAGTCAGCTTAGGTCTTGAAGAAAATATTCTAGAGCCCATTTTTGGGACTAAAGTCTGTAAATTATTGGAGTACGTGCGAGGCATCGGAAGTGCTACTTATTCAGCCGCTAAATATTCGTATACATTAGGTCGGGGTTAAATATTGGCATGGTAGAAATATGCTAATACACTCTTAGAATAAGAAAAGAGATTACGTATAGTCTCCTATGTCCTGATGGCCTAGAGTTATACATACTACTGGACTTACCAATAAATTCTAATGAGAGTTCTAAAATTGCTTATCCATCTTAAATATGGCGCAATCCTTCTCTGCGTAAGAAAAAAACTTTCCATGAAACTCTTGACCCGAACCCACTACAATAATAGACGTAAATTATAAGACATCCATCAACCAGAATTCGCTCTAGATAGGTAACTATAATACCACATAAAGATACCAGCTAGTATCAAACCACAACCACCAAAATCTTTCAAAGTGCAAGATTTCCAAGTGGCAATAATATTGGCAACGAGGGGCCAACGGAGTAGAAAAATAGCTCTACACTTTCTACCGCAGATCCAGGCAGCTGCAATCTTCACTGTGAATCTGGTATATTTTTCAAGGCGTCAAATCTGTGCGTTACACCGCACTGTCGCAAATCGAATTTGTCTCCTCCGAGTTGAGCCGAATCAATCTGCATTATCCTTGTGACATTCCGCTGTAGGGTATAAGAGATAGCGAGTAGGAATATACTCAGGTTATCATTGCAAAATAAAAATCGCCTATAAATAATTGATCAATAAAATTAAAGTGACGTAGAGATAAGAACAAAACCCTCGCTTACGTTAGTTACCATGTTAAATCTACCAATGATGGTATAAGATATACTTAAAATCGAGTACCTACATACTCCAATAAATATTTCACACGTGAGGACTTAAACCAAATAATTTAATTTGCAATCAATAATCCAAAAAAAAACCTTTTCCTATGCTTAGCGATAATTTTCAATGATACTACTGGATATAATAATACATCCAATAAATAACTGCCTCGTTGGCCGAGTGGTCGCAAGTGCGACTGCCGAGCAAGGGGTCTCGGGTTCGATTCCAGAGTCGGGCAAAGTACTGGGTTTTTAAAAAATTCTCAGTAGTAGCACGGAGTCTGGAATTGTGCCCGGTATATGGCAATAGGCTCACCCCCTATTACATGGGACTCGTAACATAAATAGTGAAAAGTGGGTGTTACATTGTACAGTGGCATTAAGTGC